CATAAACTCTAAAATACAATTCACAATGGAGTTAGAGGCAAATAATTCTTTAGCTTTCCTAGATGTTTTAGTCATCCGAAATCCTGATAACACAATTGGTCACACTGTGTATAGGAAAAAGACCCATACCAACCGATATTTAAATGGTGAATCTCACCATCATCCTTCACAGTTAGCTACCGTGGGTAAATCTTTGTTTCAGAGAGCACGAGGGATCTGTGACAGAAAACATGTGGCCGCGGAGCTTCAGCACGTCAAGCAAGTATTGCAAGACAACAAGCTTCGGGTCCCGCGCCTACGTCACAGTGAACGAGTGAAGCCGGCCACAGTCGAGCGCGCGCCTGCTCTACTACCATATGTTAGAGGAGTCACGGACAAGATTGGCTACATCTTGAAGCGAGCGTCCATTAAGACATACTATAAGCCGCTGAAGAAGATTAGTCAATTTTTACCATCCATCAAATGTAATATTCCTCTACAAGATGCAGGTGTGTACAAGCTAGATTGTGAATGTGGTCTCTTACATAGGTCAAACAAAAGATATCTATAAAAACCCGCGTGAAGGAACATATAGCTGATGTGAAGCACCGACGCTCCGGGAAGTCTGCAGTCTGCGAACATGTTCAAGATCGTCCCCACCATTACATTAGATTTGATAAACCACAAATTCTCGCAAAAGAACACCGATTCCTACCAAGGATGATACGCGAGGCTATTGAAATTAAAAAAACATCCAAATTTCAATAGAGAAGATGGTTGGGTGCTACCATCTGCTTGGGATCCTATAATTAACAAAATTAAACCCAAACCCAAGCATACCACTGCAAGACTTCATGATACTATAAGCTCATTTTGCGTAAATCGGACCAAAAATTAATATTAGAAAACTGAAGGTAGCCGGACTAACTATGACATTGGGACGTCAAACATCTCAGTCCCCCCGTGACCATGGGCGCTGTAAAGCACCCGAAACGTCGGGATAATAATAAAAATAAATTAAAGTAATTAAACGCGATAAAATCCGTAAATAATAGTTTTATTCAATGTGTAGTGTTCGCGTAAATTTAAGAAATCATTATGTGAACCAGTACGGACTGGTAATAGCAAATAAAATTCGCCGATTAGAAGATCTTAAAACCAAGCGCGCAAGATATATAACATCTTTAAATTTCTTGAAGAGATGCAGAGACCATAATCTCATTCCTACGTGTGTCAAAATATCAACAAAGAAGGACATTCGAGGAAGCGCTAAGATCTTAAATCAGGCAAGTAAAAAGTTGTTACGGACGGTGATTCAGCAGAAACGGTTCGATTTACATTTCATAAACAACACCATAGACAATTTGTCCAGTGAACTAAAGACAATTTTAACGACATTTGATTTTAATAATTGCATCGAAACTTTAAACAAACGAGAAACGTCAAAATACAATGAATGCAGAAATAAACAAATAGAAAAATACCAAAAATTAACGATCAAATCAAATGCCAAACATCCAAGTCAACGCCAGAACAATAAACAACCGTTGACCATAGACACAAACTATAAACAACGCACTGTCTATAATTTGTCAAAACATACACTGGACGAACCGACAATGAAAGTATTAGCGAAGGGAATGAACTTCGCATTAACTCCGCGAAAAATCCCGTACGAAGAAATTATCTGCAGTGTTGAGGATTGTCTGTTTAAGAATAATATCGGTAAGGAAGATTTGGAGGCCATACGTCAAGATATTTCGTCCTTGTTACGTCGTAGTTCAGTGCCGAAACCAAACCTTCCCAAAGACGAATTTACAGCGCTAAATAACTTACGGAACAGACCAGAACTCACGATTCTCCGCGCGGATAAAGGAAATGCTACGGTAGTAATGGACGCGTCGGAATATAATTTAAAAATACAACAACTTTTATCGGACGAAAGTACATATAAAAAGGTCAAAACAGACCCTACAACTAACACGCTTAAAACAACTAGCGATTTAATAAAGAAATACTCCGAAAAATTAAATCTCGACGTGAATTCGCTAATACCATCATGTGCCAAACCACCGAGGTTGTATGGGTTACCGAAGATACACAAACCAAACGCTCCACTACGTCCCATAGTGAGCCAGATCGATTCACCAACTTATAAGCTGGCACAATACTTAGCAAAAATACTATCACCACTAAGAGGACATACCAGAGCACACACAAAGGATTCATACCATTTTGTGAGTGAGATAAAAGACCTACATCTCGCTAACAATGAAACTATGGTCAGTTTTGATGTTCAGTCACTATTTACATGCCTACCTATTGTGGACTGCATCTCAATTGTAACTAGGAAGCTAGAAGAAAATAACATGCCTCAAGAATATGCAATACTACTTGAACATTGCCTCACATCTGGCTATCTATTGTGGAAGGAGGAGTTCTACAAGCAAGTAGATGGTGTGGCGATGGGCTCACCTGTGTCTCCCATAGTCGCCGACATATTCATGGAGGACTTTGAGGAGAAAGCCCTTCTTACTGCTCCTGTAAATCCAAGGTTCTACAAGCGGTACGTAGACGACACTTTCACAATTTTACCATCTGACAAAGTAACTGCATTTTTAGACCACCTTAACTCCATAAACTCTAAAATACAATTCACAATGGAGTTAGAGGCAAATAATTCTTTAGCTTTCCTAGATGTTTTAGTCATCCGAAATCCTGATAACACTATTGGTCACACTGTGTATAGGAAAAAGACCCATACCAACCGATATTTAAATGGTGAATCTCACCATCATCCTTCACAGTTAGCTACCGTGGGTAAATCTTTGTTTGCCGCAGAGCTTCAGCACGTCAAGCAAGTATTGCAAGACAACAAGCTTCGGGTCCCGCGCCTACGTCACAGTGAACGAGTGAAGCCGGCCACAGTCGAGCGCGCGCCTGCTCTACTACCATATGTTAGAGGAGTCACGGACAAGATTGGCTACATCTTGAAGCGAGCGTCCATTAAGACATACTATAAGCCGCTGAAGAAGATTAGTCAATTTTTACCATCCATCAAATGTAATATTCCTCTACAAGATGCAGGTGTGTACAAGCTAGATTGTGAATGTGGTCTCTCTTACATAGGTCAAACAAAGAGATCTATAAAAAACCCGCGTGAAGGAACATATAGCTGATGTGAAGCACCGACGCTCCGGGAAGTCTGCAGTCTGCGAACATGTTCAAGATCGTCCCCACCATTACATTAGATTTGATAAACCACAAATTCTCGCAAAAGAACACCGATTCCTACCAAGGATGATACGCGAGGCTATTGAAATTAAAAAACATCCAAATTTCAATAGAGAAGATGGTTGGGTGCTACCATCTGCTTGGGATCCTATAATTAACAAAATTAAACCCAAACCCAAGCATACCACTGCAAGACTTCATGATACTATAAGCTCATTTTGCGTAAATCGGACCAAAAATTAATATTAGAAAACTGAAGGTAGCCGGACTAACTATGACATTGGGACGTCAAACATCTCAGTCCCCCCGTGACCATGGGCGCTGTAAAGCACCCGAAACGTCGGGATAATAATAAAAATAAATTAAAGTAATTAAACGCGATAAAATCCGTAAATAATAGTTTTATTCAATGTGTAGTGTTCGCGTAAATTTAAGAAATCATTAGGACTATTCTTGCAAATAAGCCTGATATTGTGCTGATGGACCGGGCACAGTCAAGGATATTTTTTGGTCGACATTACCATTCCGTATGACGAGAACCTCGTGAAAGCCGAAACAGATAAGCGAACAAAATATCTGGACCTGGCTCACGAGGTGACCGACATGTGGGGTGGTTGGCCGACCGAAATTATTCCTGTAGTCGTCTCTGCGAATGGGCTAATCCCAGTCAGCCTCTCGGGTCATCTGAGGCGACTGGGACTCCGTGACGGACCGCTCCTGGCTCAAATGGTCCTCGATACCGCCCGCATCGTCCGTCGGGTTCTTTCCCTTTCCCCCAAACCCTCGGCCGTTTGGTCTCCCCTGCCGAGGGCTTCCATCTGGTTGCATCTTTATTTATTTGTGTATTTTTTGTATTTATTTTATTTTATTGATATTTATGTATATTTATCTTTTCATTTTAATTTATAATTATATATTTATAGAACCCAACCAGATGAGAAAACTATATTGATACCCCCACATAATAATATTATATATTTATTATTTTATATTCATATATTTATTTTTATTATATATTTATAGAACCCAACCAGATGAGAAAACTATATAGATATCCCATAATAATAATAATAAGGCGTAGGGAAGTGACGACCCCATCGCCCGCTGACGTAAGGGTTATGTGACAAAACCGCTACGTCAGCGCAGTCAGTCAGCACCTTGCCAAGAGGTGTTAGTGCCGTGCCTCGGCAAAAATTGAAGGTGCAAAGGCCCGCTTGTGCACATGGCCTCACCATGAAACGGCGCCGGGTCTGGGCGTCTCCCGCTAAATGACGCCCACCACTATGGATGATGGAATACGGAAGAACGCGCAAAGGGCCGCTGCCTGGAGGTCGCCAGGGCGCGTCTGGAGCTGGCGCTGGACGCGGCAGCATGCGAACCGCCAGCCGAGCGCGAGGTGCTGCACGACCACCCAGCAGCCCCTCGCATCCATCATCCCCACCAGCTGGCTTGGTGTCGGCAGGGTCTTCGCGGGCCCAGCAATCGGCACCCGCCTCTGGTGGAGTACGCCGCATGCGTTGGACAACCCAGATGAACAGCAACGCATTGCGGGCGTATTTTTTGGGGCGAAAGGGGGAGAAACTGGATGTTTGGCGTATCGGGCTAGGATGCATCGTCTTTTTGCTGAGCTGGAGCCATCTTTAACCGTCACAGAGTAAAACCTGGCAGACCGAGTTCGGTATATCTTGCGCTCAAATATATTTGATGTCGCCGAACTCGAACGGCTACGACGTGAGGCTGTTCCCTCGTCGGATGAGAATGCTACGGCTGAGGATGCGGCGCCACAAATGGTAGAGCAACCCGCAAACGTGGATGCCGCCGTGAATACCCCAGTTGTGGTTGATTCAAACGATGATGGAACAGTCGCCCAGGAACTGGAATTAGAGCATATGAGGAGTACATTGGAAGAGGCGATTGTGGAAACGCACAGTACGCCTCTCGAAAATCGACCGCGACTTCCCCGCATAGCCCTAAGCAAGCGGAATCGGGCTGTCGTGAGGGCTCTGAACCCAATGCTGGTGACCTATTTGGAAGCCAGCCGGGACCTTTGCGAGACGGACTCAATTCCTTTTGGCGCCGCGCTGGCAGTCTGCCGTATCATAGGCGCCAAGGTTTCCACGGCTGGACACGCTACTGGCCATAGTAGCGCTATCCCAGCATGGAGAAGAAGAATTGAGGAACGTATCGCAAAGGCTAGAGCTCTCATCGGCAGACTGATATGCTTCAGATCAGGCAACAACAGGCCAAGAATTGTGCGCACCGTCAGGATGGCGTTTGCTGGGACAAATGTCAGTTTGTCCCAGCCGGATATAACGCAAAAACTGACGGAGCGCATAGATGATCTGAAGCAGAGAATCGCTGCTTGGGGAAAACGGATTCGGCGATATACCGAGAGGTCGACACGGTTCAACCAGAATCGTCTCTTCCAGAGTGATCAGAAGAGGCTTTATGAATCATTGGAGCGACCAATGGTAAGTGGAACGGGTCCAGCACCGAATCAGGCCGACACTGTAGCATTCTGGCGCGGCCTGTGGTCAGAGCCCGTAAACCACAGCGAGGGCCTTTGGACGGAAGTTGTGGCGAGTCAGTGTGCGGGTATTACGCCCATGGACCCCGTCATCATAACGCCGGATGACGTAGCTGAGGCGGTCCGTAGGGCCCCGAACTGGAAAAGTCCGGGGCTTGACGGGCTGCATCACTACTGGCTGAAGGGGTTCATGGTGTGTCACTCTGTGCTTGCCCGACAGTTTCAAGAGGCTCTCAACCAGAAGTCGCTCCCAAGCCTCTTCACTACTGGGATCACTCATTTGGTTCCTAAAGACCAGGGTACCACAGACCCGAGCAAATACCGCCCCATCACGTGTCTACCGACCATATACAAGACACTAACATCCATTTTGAGCGCGAGAATCACTTGTCACCTGTACTCAAATCAGGTGATGTCGCGCGCTCAAAATGGATGTCGGGGCGGTGGTCGTGGAACCAAGGAACCACTCCTCATTGACGCGGTCATTGGCAAAGTGGTGAAACGCAACCGTCGGAACTTCTCCGCCGCCTGGATAGACTACAGAAAGGCATTCGACTCGGTGCCCCATACACGGCTAAAGAGAGTCCTCGAGCTGTACAAGATAGACTGTAGAGTTAGAGACTTCCTTGAGCAGTGTATGGGGCAGTGGAGTACGATCCTTTGTCATCTGGGCGAGCGGATGATGGCTGCGGAGAACCACATAAGGATAAGAAGGGGTATGTTCCAGGGCGATGGTCTGAGTCCAATCTGGTTCTGCCTCTCTCTGAACCCTCTCAGTACCTTACTGGAGGGCTCCGGGAGGGGATTTCAGCTTCGGAAAGGAGGTACAAAAGTGACCCACCTTTTCTATATGGATGACCTCAAGTTATTCGCCTCCAGTCGCTCCCATCTTGTGGAATTGCTAAACATCACTTGTGAATTTAGCAGTTCTATTGGAATGGAGCTGGGAACGGATAAGTGTGCGGTCCTCCATGTTGAAAGGGGAAGGGTTGCTAACTCTGAGGGCATAGACTTATCTATGCCCGTCAACTTAAGGACCCTTTCCGAGGCTGAAACATACCGATACCTGGGTATGTCACCGAACATCGGTATCGATGAGGCTGGTATGAAAGAGTCAGTTTACGACGTGTTTTATGCATGCTTGACCAAAGTGCTTAACAGCCTTTTGTCCGGTGTGAATAAAACACACGCATATAACGGTTGGGTCATGCTTGTCCTCATGTATACCTTTGACATACTCAGGTGGACCCAGACTGAACTTAACGCCCTGGATAGAAAAGTCCGCACTACCATGACGTCCCATAGGATGCATCATCCGAGATCGTCGGTAATGAGGCTGTACTTGCCGCGAAAGCATGGTGGACGTGGTTTTCTGAGCGCGCTCACCATGCATAATCGCGAAGTGTGCAGCCTCCGTGATTACTTCCTGGCGAGATCGGATGATCCATTCTATAATGACGTCATTTCTAGTGATAAAGGGCTTACCCCTCTATTCTTAGCCAATGAGCAATGGCAGGACCCAGCAGTGCTTAGCATTTCCGACCGGGAGACCATATGGAAGGAGAAGGAGCTCCACGGGAGGTTCTACAAGGCTCTACATGGGCCTTTCGTAGACACAGTAACCTCCCTCCACTGGCTACGCTTTGGTGATCTCTTCGGGGAAACCGAGGGTTTTGTCTGTGCAATACAGGATCAGGTTATTAAAACCAACAACTATCGGAGATACATCCTAAAGGATGGCACCGTGGACATCTGTCGAGCTTGTCGCCATCCCGGTGAGTCACTTAGGCATGTCATTTCCGGTTGTTCGAATGTTGTTGTTATTTTTGACCGATTTAGCCAACAACTCTCTCTCATAGTCTCTTTTTAAAATTTTAATAAGATTGTTACAGGAATTTCTATACCTCCGGTATGTGATTGTGATTTCGTTATTGTAATGCGCATTACGTGCTTGTTTTTGAAGCTTATTACGGTTTCTTATGCAGCGCAAAATACCAGGTGTGATCCAAGGTTTTAGGATACGATTTTTTCTAGAAATAGTTATGGTAACGGTATGTTCTTTTAGTGAGTTGGTAAGTGCATACATCAAATGATTAGCTATTAACTCAGGGTCATCGCATTGTAGCAGTTTATCTAGGTTTTGATTTTTAAGGTGATCTAGAGCTTTGTTAAAATCAGTGGATATTTTTGATTTAGGTACAAAATATAAATACATGCTCGTCGGATAAGGGTACTCCTAATTCGGCCCGTTTTCAATAAATCGCCAATTTGGTCGATAAATTTTCGCCTAGGACGTCCCTTTCCGACTCTGCCATTCACTTCTGCAACATAAATTTTCTTTGTCACTCTTTCCTCATTCATTATTTCCACGTGAACAAACCACCGAAGCATTCCTTTCTTAATCCTGGTCACAACATCATCTTGCAAACCACACTCTTCTCTTATTACACAATTTCTTACCCTGTCATTCATATTCAGCCCTAACATACTCCTTAACGACCGCATTTCTACTGCGTTCATTCTACTCTCGTGCTTCTTCTGCCACACCCAACTTTCACTACCATACGTTAAAGTAGGGACCAACACAGCATTGTGAATTGCCATACGTGCCTTTTAGTTAGGTTAAATGAAATTTAAAGAGTGATATAATGATTCTTGACAAGTTTTAAATACTTGAATGGATGTTTCGCGTTTTACCGCCAATATGAGTTCATGTCATAACCTAACGGCCTGTACGTTAAAGACGCGTTTATAAATTTAATTGTGTGTGTGTGCGTGCATATTCAACTTAAAGATCTCTGTTGATCATAGGTTACGCAAATGGGATTCACAAAGAAGAGCAAAGCTATTTTTGGAATAAGAAGGATTAAAAAAGACACTATAAAGAAGTGAGTGTTCCGATGAAGTCGTATTGGCAACAATATTTACGTAATGGTCATATTTACGTAATAAAAATATAAACCTTATACAAAATTTTGAATTTGCTCAACTTTATTAAGCTGAGCTTCGGTGAGATCTAGATAGCTGACGTAGGCATAGTCGAAAATGGGAAAAGGAAGTGACATGGCAAGCACAGTATTGGTGCAAATGGGAAGAAAGTTACGTAATCACAAAGCGCTGCAGGGACATGAACTTTACAAAGAATCACCTTTATATAATGACCCCATGGTAGATTTTAATCTATGTTTATCCCCAAGTTCTCTAATGAATCTCTGTATGAGATTATAGTTTTATCAAATAATACTTGAGTAGGTGATCGAAACAGGACTTATTTAAAACATTTGTGCGCTACCAATGATAATGGCTTGTGAGTTTGCTAGGTTAACGTGAAGGCCGTATGCTTTACTGCACTCAAGTGTTCGTACGAGATCTGAATTTATGACATTGATAGCATTGGGGAATATTTGTAGATTATCTACATAAAGGTGATGGGAAGAAGTTAAATAACTGGATGTTAAGTTCATAAAAAAATGCATAAAGTCATGAAGATAAAACATCTCCTTGTGGTATAAACACATAAGTTACACCAAGATGATAATGTATCCTCGATACGTAGACGTTGCTGACAACCAGACAGAAAACTCTGAAAATAAACAATCGCAGTTCAGACAGCGCATTATACCGAGTAGAACATCATGTTCAAAGGTATTAAAAGCATTGCTGAAATCCAATGAACAAAGAACTGTCACTTCACCGTGTTCTATTCCTAATCGGATATCATCGGTGATGTTCACCAATGTTGTAGTAGTACTGTGTCCAGATCGAAGTCCTGATGTTAAAAGATTAATAAAAGAATTTGCACGAAGAAAGCTGTTGTTTTGGGTGAAAATAAGGCGTGTAAGGACCTTAGATAAAAGGGCAATAAAGAGATATTCATTAAAAAAATCAAGATGATGGAAAACAAATTCCCACTGCAATGAAAGTGACAGATAGAAGAATATTCTTCACGTTAGAAGCAGATAATGATTTAAAAACAAAAAAAGAGTGTTTTGGAGTAGCAAAAGTTGAAAGATATATTAGTGTATAATCTTAGTATTACTATCTAAGCAAAACATAGAAGAGAAATGTTTATTTAAAATATTATCGTTTAAACCATTTGTCATTGGAGTATTCTTAGATTTTGGTGATTCATTTGCCATAGCTGCTACGCTTGGCAAGTGGTATGGCAGGGACGGGTTTATTTAGTCGTTATCATGAAGACGCGGCTGCCCATCCTAATTTGTTTCCCTCTGTTGCCTCCTACGAAACCCACGGAATGATATAGGCTAGTGTATATTCTAACAACTCTACTACGCGATACTTAAATATTGTATCCTACATCACGCGAGAGAATTTTCCTTGCCATAAAATGCAGAGTTATAGGCTGTAAATTCAACTTTATAATTGGAACGGCTTATTTATTAAATACTATTTACTGCGAAAAACCTACCACAGTCTAGTCAGCGGACGCAAGTATGCAGGTACTTACGTGTTACATTTATTGAAATGTGTGAGAGTCACATGAAAAAGTTTTCAAATATTATTTATAATTTATTCATTTAATATTTAAGTATGAAGACATTTGAAACAGCATGGTGGCCATCACCTCATCAATACAGTTCAATCAAGCGTAATATGTTCCCGTTACAATCTTTATATCGTTAAAATCTAGTGGTTGTAGTAGTGCGATTGCTAATCATGAGGTCCTGGGTTCGAATCCCGGGTCGGACCATAAAAATCAATTATTGAGTTGTCCTGTCAAGAAATTCTCAGTAGCTGCCCGGAGTCAGAAAGGTGACGGTGTCTCACCCCCGTGCCGCGGAAAGCACGTAAAGCCGTTGGTTCTGCGCCTGATCTCTCTCCGGTCTTGTCGGTTTACCGTCCCATCGGATTATGAGAGTGAGGGAATAAAGAGTGCACCTGTGCTTGCGCATACACTTGGGCACTATAATCCTGTCCTGCGCCGATGGCTAGCCTCCGTTGAGGCAGGCCGCCGTGACTACCTACGCCCCGTATACCTTTAAACGAGCAATTCTTGATATATATATATATATATATATATATATATATATATATATATATATACATATATATAATCGGAATCTCGGAAACGGCTCCAACGATTTTCATGAAATTTAGTGTCCAGGGAGTTTCGGGGGGCAATAAATCGATCTAGCTAGGATTTATTTTTAGAAAATGTTTTTTTTGTCCGTGTTTTCAGGCAATGAAAAACTGCTACAATATAAGAAGGTAAATTTTGACAATATGTTAATGATCGTAATAGCTCAAGTGGATAGCGAGCGGTCGCAAAATCCTAATGCCTTGGTTCGCGTCCCCTCTTAGGTCCGACTTTTTTTCCTTTTTTTCTTCAAGTTTCCTTCTTTTGTGAGAAAATCTATTATTTCCAGCACTTTTCTTATGACTTTATAAAAATACAAAAATTTTAATTAAACTAATTGCACTCATGATTTTTTTCTATTATGTCAATAAGATAAAAAAATATTATTCATCAGTATGTAATTTGTATCTAAATGTAATTTAAAAAAAAAACCGAGCAAAGCTCGGTCATCCGGGTACTTATTATTAATTTTAATACATACAGTACAGACATAATTGATAACACCAAATTATTCAAACCAAAATACTGATCTATTCATTACAGCGACCTTATAAACAATTCTAAGGATTTCAAACATAAATACAGCATTTTAGATTATTATTTTCAATAATATAAATATTGCATCACGTTGTTATTCAATATATGCGAGTAATAAGTGACAATAATTGTTAGGGTAAATTTTATAACATTAATCTTAGATTTGCCGGAAGCTGACAAACAGAAGTGGTCAGTTATTATTTAAATGCTCAGATGAAGTAAAAAAGGTAGATATCGCACCTAAAACAAGAAACTGTAACCAATTTTATAACTTTGCGTGAGTCAGAGAAGTGTTGCCACTTTTTTTAAGAGTCCCTGAAAATCGAGATACAATACTACAACTATAAGAATAATGTGCGATGCGAATGTATATCTGTCTGTTTTAATAAATTTCAACAATTTGAAAATTCAAAAAAAAAAAAAAGATGAAGCACGTAGGAGGCGTCTGTAGATCATTTAAAAATCTTCTTGGTAGATTGTCCAGTGAGCATGTAAGCATCGATAAAATATACAACATATGTAATGTAAAAAATGTTTATTATAAAAAATAACTTAATACTTAAAAAAACTAGTTGTAATAAAAAATAAATTTCCATGAAATTAAAAATATACTTTTCTAAATGAAAAAAAAAAGTATATTTTAGTAAATGTAAAATAGAACAAACTGCAGGAGGGCACAAGGGAGTGTTCTAATTTGTACCCCGGGTAGGAGAGGTATGAATTATAAGCCGGAGAGGACACCTAAGTTTCGGTTAAAAAGAGCAAGTCCGGCTTCGCCGTCTCCGGAGCTGCCTAAGCACCCACGCTCAGGAAGAGTAAAGTGGCTTGGTCGTGGTTGCTCAGCGAGGGATTCTCCGTCACCAGGAGTGAGGGTACCCTCTTGGGGTAGTTTTTATTTTATTCCGCTACGATGTTAAGGGGAAGGGGGAATTGGACCTTCAGCCCAAGTAAAACGCAGAGGTAAACCTCCACTTCACGCAGGTATTCTGTGAGGTCGTACGGTACCATCCCGGTTCAAGGAGGCCCATCCATGCGACATCAATAGCCGCTGCGTGGCTGTACCACTGTCAAGTCAAGAGGATGGCTGCCATTTTGGTTCATTTGAGCTCAATCTTACAGCAGCTACCCTTCATTTTTTTCGTAGGATAGGGTGACAAACGAGCATACAGTCCACCTGATGGTAAGTGGTTGCTGTGGCCCATAGACATCTACATATATCCTCGATTACGAATCAAAATGCAGATGCGTTGTCACCCGTGAGGACTAAGATGGAATGCGTCGTTTCCAATAAAAGGCTCTCCGGTTCTCTACACTCACCATACGAAACAGTAGCATTAAGCTACTATTTTAAGCTGGTATTCTATGAGAGTGTGGTCCTTCCCCGGTCGAGCCGACCGAATCGTGCTATAACTATACTACTAATAGTATAACTGCCGCATGGCTCTACCGCGTAAAAATTCATGTCTTATTAAAATATTCGTTGGTAGCATGAAATCATAAATATTTTTTGATACTAAAATAAGTACTCAACAATTAAAAGAGAAACATCAGCGACTTAAAAAATTAAATGTTTACCTTGACTTCAATTTGATGTAACATAATAACAACTAATTTCAAAAAATATGCTGACTACATATATTTTTATAACATAGCCTAAAATTAATTACGCAAATCATGGAACATTATAAATAAGAAATACTGGCAACATTCTCCCGTGACGTAATCTCGAAACATTGACATTCGTGCTTTAAATAACCTTCAAAATTGTTTTGGAATAACAAATTAAAATATAGTTAAATGAGTGTTTACCAGTGAAACGATATTGCTTCAGACTTTTTGTTCACTTTAGTATTGTTTTCGCACCATTTATCTACGGAAATACAGGACGGTATTTTGTAGGCAAATTTACTACACGACGCCCCGGGAAGTACTGTGCGAAAATGAGCGTAGTTTGATGCATGTGTGCGCGTGAACGCGTGTGCTTACATAAAGGAGTGGAGTTTTTTGGCTTCAACAATAACAAAGGTCGCGCTATATCTACCTTTTTTACTTCATCTGAGTTTAAATGTCATTTATTTATTCACATTAGATTATGTTAAAAATACAATAAATATCTGTAATAATTTAAGTAATTAACAGACAGTTAATTATTCTATAAGGTAGTGAACCAAATACCAGAAGTAGAAAACTTGATATAAACTTAATCGTAAGAACTAACAGCCTTGTTTTGTGGGTAGGTAGTGAAATAAAATATATGAATTACCTCACAAACTAGTTTCTTAATTACCAGTCTCTGACTATTAAACCAAAGGAAACGGCATCGCAAGGCATACCCTTCTATAAAATTTACAAGAGTCCTACTCATAGCCGTTATATAAAACTAGTTTCTCCGCGTCGTGCGTAATTACGCAAGTGATCGTGTACAGAGTATATTATATATGATCGTGCCAGTCAATTGAGCTCCGACGAAAATGCCAAATTGCAGTGTATTTTCATGCAAAAACAATCAAAACCGTCAAATCTACAAAAGGACTATGTGACTTTTCATCTGTGAATACTTTGAACATAATATTATCGTTAAAACTCATATTTCTGAATATTTTTTTAAATATAAAGTGTTTTCAGCATAATTCATGAAGTGAAAAATAAGCGATTTTAAAATAAATATAATTTATTACACAAAATAAATATATTAACGAATATTTATTTCACATCAACTAAATCAGTTTGTGATGAATAATAATCATTACATTAAGATGTGTAGTGGATTTTGTCAAATGATTTAAATATTCAGCTCAATCCCAACACGATTCTGAATATATTATAATTTAATATATTCAATAACTAGTCTTTATCAAAATATTATACAAAATAAGGGTCAAATAAATAGTATCGAAACAGGCCACTATGTAGCAAATGCATTTTCATCATTTTCATGCATTGATGATTGAATGTGTTCATCATTAAAACAACTTCCAAATGTGCTGCTATAAATTGTTATGCTAAAAGACCATGAATAGAGTACTTTAAATTAATACAAAACATTACACATAACTTTCATCAGATTTTTTCACAATTTTTTTGCCATATTATATATCTTTTTTTGTAGAGATACGCAGTATAATATCGCTAAATCAGGAATTGGTTATGTTTAAAAGATCATGAATAATGTACTATAAATTGATACCAAACGATACAAATAATTTTTCATCACTCATCAGATTTATTTTCTTCAATGTTTCTGCCATAATATATATCTTAGTGTTGTAGAGCTACGCAGTATAATATAGCTGTAGCAGAAATAGGTAGGCTCGAAAGAGAGGAATCACGCTCTCACGGAATTCCAGCGTAAACTAGCTGCTGTGAGTATAGATAACTTTTTGCTGGACATC